GGGCCTGGGAAACAAGCGCTGACTGGTGGAACCACATTGTTATGCAGCTATGGGATGATGAGCAGTGGCTGCAGAACTTTTGAATGCGTAAGGCCACTTTCCAGGAACTGTGTGAAGAGCTTTCCCCAGCCCTGAAGCACAGCAATACTAAAATGAGAGCTGCTCTGACAGATGAGAAGCAAGTGGGGATTGCTCGGTGGAAGCTTGCAGCGCCAGACTGCTACCAGTCAATGGGGCATCAATTTGGAGTGAGTAAATCTACCTTGAGATCTGTTATGATCCAAGTTTGCAAGGCCATCAACAGACTTCTGCTAGGAAGGGTAGTGACTCCGAGCAAGGTGCAGGACATACTGGATGGTTTTACCATGATGAGGTTCCCTAACTGCAGTGGGGCAATAGATGGAATGCATATCCCTATCTTGGCACCAGACCACCTTGCCAAAGAGTACATAAACCAAAAGACATACTTCTCAATGGTGTTGCAAGCGCTGGTGGATCATAGGGGCCATTTCACCAACATCAACATGGGATGGTTGGGGAAAGGTGCATGACACGTGTATCGTTAGGAACACAGGTCTGTTCAGAAAGCTGCAAAGAGGTACTTTCTTTCCAGCCTGCAAAATAACCATTGGTGATATTGCAATGCCAGTTGTGATCCTGGGAGACCCAGCCTACCCCTTGCTCCCATGGCTCATGAAGCCGTACACAGGCAGCCTGGACAGCAGTAAGGACTGGTTCACCCATAGGCTGAGCAAGTGCAGAATGGTGGTGAAATGTGCTTTTGGACGTTTAAAAGGTTGCTGGTATTGTTTGCTTACTATGTTAGACCTCAGTGAAAGTAATATCCTCATTGTTATTGCTGCCTTCTGTGTGCTCCATAATATCTGTGAAACAAAGAGAGAAAAGTTTCTGCTGGGGTGGGGGGTTGAGGCAGATCACTTAACAGCCAATTTTGAGCAGTCAGACACCAGGGCAATAAGAACAGCATGTTGAGGAGCTCTCCATCTCCATGAGGCTTTGAAAACCAGTTTCAGCAATGAGCCAGAGTAATGTGACACTTATCTGTGTTCCTTACCAAACTGTCCCCTCCATTGCGTTTTCTCCCCTGTAAACTCCACCTCACCAACCACTGGTGTTGAATGAAAAAATAGCCTTTTCTCCTCAATCCGTTAAGTTATATTATGCACACAAACACACAGAGACAGCAAAGAAAAGTAAGATAACCTGGGGCAAAAGCGCCGATAACACTGTGGTGGGAGAAACAAGGAAAGCTTGCTTACAGGTGCACTGCAATAACTATTAAAGGTCTGGGAATGGGCGCCTTCTGGTCCTTGTACCCTCCCCTGGTGTTAAGTGCAAGGGATACCGAATTCCCCCTCCTCCACCTCATAGGATGTTTGGGGGAAGAGGATGTAGAACTGGGCGATTATGGCAGCAGATTCAGCATAGGCTGCAGAGGGACTCTAGCATCCAGCTGCCTTTCTTGAACCTCAACCAGAGGCCTCAACATGTCTGATTGCTCCTTCATAATCCTCAGCATCTCTTCTTGCATGGCACGTCTTGTTCCCTGCATGCTCTCCTCTCCTCCCTGTCCATGTCCAGGTTCTCGGACAGTGCAATCCTCCATGCTCTGAGCTCCGTCTTGTCACTCTGGAGGTGTGCATTAACTCATTGAACATGTCCTCCTGAGTCTTCTTTTTTGCACCTTCTCATCTGGGAACATCTCTGTCCCAGTGTGCGTTGACAGACAAGTTTTCAGCTGCTAGGAATGCAAAGCACCAAGGTAGCATTGACAGTGCATAGATTATTTCTGGTGCAAGGTTAATTTTTTTAATTAAAAAAACCACCCCTCAATACACTTCACTGCAGGCCACAATGTAATCACAACCGCTGGCTACTGCAAGAGTCGGTTTGCTGCTCCGGCCATGGTGAGTAAGAACACGAGGCATGGGCAAGAGGTCTTGTGCTGCTGCTTTTGTGAAGACATCCTTGGATTCCCTTTCCCCTGGCAATCTGAGGAGAGGCACTGGTGTAAAGCCCCCCAAATAGTTTGCTTTTACAAAAGCAGCATCGGGTTGGGAGGGGGACAAACAGGAAGCTGCCCTCCCCACCTTTTTTTTTCAATGCTGTTTGCAGTACATGGTTATCTCTTCCAACCACAACCACAGCACGTTTGGGAAAGCATCGTTGTGTGAGCCAGATTTCACCAAATGGGGTGGATTACTTGTTGAATTGTTTGCGGTTTAAGGGCTAGCATTGAAAACTTCCCCCGTTTCCCCTCAGTGACCCTATGCACTATCACTCTCCTGAGAGTAACAGAGCAAATGCTGCAAGCGTCTGGGTAGAGACCTGGTCCTTTATGCTACAATGCCATGTGCTGCAATGATGCCAGCAGAGGTAATACTGGAGTGGCGTGGGAAAGTGTCCTACCATGGTGGACGAAATAAGGCAGCCCTTCCCAGAAGCCTTCTGCAAAGGATTGTGGAGTACCTTCATGAAGGCTTCCTAGAGATCTCCATGGAGGATTCCTGGGCCATCCCTGTACACATAAACAGTCTTTTTTCGGAGAGCACTCTCTGTGTAGCTGGAGTGGCCACTGATACCTACTACCCCTACTTTTTTGTTGAGATTAAACATAAAAAATAATTGCATGTAACCCCTACAGTTTGATTGGTAATGTGTACTCACCAGACGTGCCTTCCCTGGCATCATGCTCCACCGCCAACTGGTCCTGGGAAGGGATGGGCTCCAGGGTTAAAAACAGTTCTTGGCTGTCAGTGAGAGGGAATCCTCCACTTGCCTGCCTCACATTCTCCTCCGCCTCCTCCTCTTCCTTGTCAGCAAAGTCCTTCTCGTTGTTGCTCGAGGTCGCCCAGGGTTCCTGGGAGGTATCCACAGAGTGTTTTGGGGTAGTGATGGGGTCGCCGCAGAGAATCACATGCAGCTCCTCATAAAAGTGACATGTCTGTAGGGCAGAACCAGAGCAACTATTCGCCTCCCTTGTCCTCTGATACGCTTGCCGTAGCTCCTTTATTTTCACACGGCACTGTTCTTCTGTGTAGCCTTTTCCCCCATGCCCCACACAATCTTGGCATAGATGTCAGTGTTTCTTCTGCTGGATCGGAACTGTGCCTGCATAGACTCTTCTCCCCACACAGCAATAAGATCCACCATCTCCTGTGTACTCCATTCTGGAGTGTGTTTGGGGCCTTGCGTCTCCATGATCAGCTGTGCTGAATGAATGGACTATAAGGTGGATAGAAAGCTGGCTAGATCGTTGGGCTCAATGTCTAGTTGGCAGCCGGTATCAAGCAGAGTGCCTCAGGGATCGGTCTTATTCAACATCTTCATTAATGATCTGGATGATGGGATGGATTGCACTCTCAGCAAGTTTGTGGATGACACTAAGATGGGGGGAGAGGTAGATATGCTGGACGGTAGGGATAGGGTCCAGAGGGACCTAGACAAATTGGAGGATTGGGCCAAAAGAAATCTGATGAGGTTCAAGAAGGACAAGTGCAGAGTCCTGCACTTAGGATGGAAGAATCCCATGCACTGCTATAAGCTGGGGACTGACTGCTGAGCGGCAGTTCTGCAGAAAAGGACTTGGGGATTACAATGGACGAGAAGCTGGATATGAGTCAACGGTGTGCCCTTGTTACCAAGAAGGCTAATGGCATATTGGGCTGCAGTAGTAGGAGCATTGCCAGCAGATTGAGGGAAGTGATTATTCCCCTCTATTCAGCACTGGTGAGGCCACATCTGCAGTATTGCATCCAATTTTGGGGGCCCCACCACAGAAAGGATGTGGAAAAATTGGAGAGAATCCAACGGAGGGCAACGAAAATGATTAGGAGGCTCGGGCACATGATTTAGGAGGAAAGGCTGAGGGAACTGGGCTTATTTAGTCTGCAGAAGAGAAGAGTGAAGGGGGATTTGATAGCAGCCTTCCACTACCTAAAGGGGGTTCCAAAGAGGATGGAGCTCGGCTGTTCTCAGATGATTTAGTTGGTGTTGGTCCTGCTTTAAGCAGGGGATTGGACTAGATGACCTCCTGAGGTCTCTTCCAACCCTGATCTCCCTAGTCTTCTATGATTCTAGATTAGGTATTCCTGAATAACTCCATGTATGGACATTCTTATTCCGGAATCAGAGCGCTTTGTTCCTGTTACACTTAATCTGCTTTCAGAGTGGATTAAACTAAAGAGGAACAAAGTGCTCTTATTCCGGAATAAGAGTATTCAGACATGGGGTTATTCCAGAATGGTTACTGCATTTTGCATTTACACCCCACCTCAATCGGAATTAATTTTCAAGTGTAGACAAGCCGTAAAAGAGCTGCTAGGTTATTGCTCAAACCCTTGGCCTTCCTTACACTTTCTTAGTTGCTGTTAATTGCTGTGCAATAGCCACTGTCTTGGAAACTGCTCTGTGTGGGCACCTACATGAAGCCTAGTTGACTTCAGAGTGGCCTATAGAGCATTTGGCAGGTCTGGGGCTTTCATCTGAATGCTCTTTGGGCACATGTATTCCTGTGCAATAGGAATAACAAAAAATGTGATTCTGTCAAACACCAAAGTAACCACGTGTGGCTGAGGTGATGTGCAATTTGTAAAACCCTCAGTGCTGCCTGTTTCTCGTGGTTCTGTTTATTCTTTAGATGTTTGCAGTTTTCTTTTCATCTGTGTTCCATTGTTTCATTAGAGATACAGGTTAAACGCACTGGATGACAGTTGCCAGAATCTGGCTTCTTTCGTTTTTTGAAAATGGGTACCATATTTGCTTTCATCTAAGCTGTCACTACCTCTGAGTTTTTCCAAATATCATTGTCTATAATTCAGCAAATTAAACAGCTACTTCTCTGACAGTGAGATGCATGTCATCTAGACTTGCTGGTTTGGAGGTGCACAAATTCCACTCACTTGCTTCTTATTAATTCACTAGCATTTCATTGTTTTTTACCTGCCCTGTCTGACAGGCCTTTTGCTTGTTTTTTGCAGATAAACTGTGTGACTTTTCCCCACCCAGACACAATGCAAGAACAGCAGTTGCTGAAACCCACTGAATGGAGCTACTGTGATTATTTCTGGGTAAGTAGGCAGCCAGCCACATGCCACTCGCAGCAGCTTCTGAGTTTCAGGAAGAGCAGAACAAATTGCTAGGTTTGTGTTACGGAGCAAATCAGAATTCAGTGTGGCTGAAAAAGACACACTAGCAAGGAGCAGCACCAACTCTGCTGCGTCACTTCTGCAGGGCCTTTAATAAAGCACAGGGGACGGTGTGGTGCTAGAGGTGCTCTCCAGAACAAAGAGAAAACAAGGGAAAGGCTTAAGGGAGGGAACATCGCTCCTGCAGGAAGAGTGGAGTGTTTGTTAGCCTCAGTCCCAACCACCAGACCAGGCTGCACTGAGGAGAGAGGGAGCAGCTAAGGTGCTGATGTAACTCCGACAGACCCCGTTGTCAGCGGGCAGGATTGAACCTTGGACCTCTGGAGTTTAGTGCATGAGCCACTACTGCATGAGCTAAAAGGCATATGGCTGTTAGCCAAGGCTGTAGAGCAGACTCATTAATCTCTCTCTAAGTGGTCATTCAGCCCACGTCCTCTTTTCATGCTGATGATTCGCAGAGCTACCTCTCTGCTCTGGACCTGGCCAAAATGGAACTCCTGATCCACCACCACCGCCACCAGCACAAGCCCTTCTATCTTCTCTGTCATGATGGACAGCACCACCACCTTCCCTGTCATTCAGACTAGCAACCTTGATTCTATCTTTGCCTGAGCCCTCTCTGTTGACCTACCCATCAGCCACGTCACTTGCCACTTCTTCCTGCACAGCTTCTCTAGGATCTGGCCTGTCATCATGGCCAAAACTCTCATCCAAGCCCTGATCATCTTGCTTTTTGATTACTGCAGTCTTTACTGTATATGTGAGTACAGCATGCAGCGCAGTGAGGCAAAAAGCATAGCAATTCTGAAAATATCCCCTATGCCCCAGAGACATGGGGGGTGGAGTTAGACATTAATCGAAAGTATAGGGAAGAGGGAAAGAAAAAAGGTGAAAATGAAACACAGAGAGAGGGGGCTCCAAACTGCTCCAAAGTCAATGGAATTATCCTAGGGATGAACTGGGCCAAGTAACGAAACAAACAATGATTGAAAGAATGAATGAATGGCATTATTATTAGCCCATGAAATGAGGTGGTCTTTTACATACTAAAGGGGCTATCACACTGGGTACATTCTATCAGGCACTGATGGAGTAGATGCTCAGCAGAGGGGAGGAAGTCATTTAATGGTCTTCCGAGGCGCATTTCAAAGTGTTTTTAATGTTCTGATCAGCAGCTTAGATCCCAGGAGGAGCCTCCTGCGAAGAAAAGCAGCTGTTCCCACCCCTGGAATGACATCTTTTGGCAGCATTGCTGTAGTTAGGATTCTAGGAGCCATGACATGTCTTGTGTTGTACACGTCCTAGCTGCCATTTCTCTTCCAGGCTGATAAGAAGGATCCGCAAGGGAACAACACAGTATCAGGGTTTGAAATTCTGCTCCAAAAGCAACTCAAGGGGAAACAAATGCAAAAAGAAATGGCAGAGTTTGTTCGAGAAAGGTAATTGGAAGCTTTCTGTTGAGTTTAATATTTCTTGTAATCACTTTATTTCCATGAATCGAGCACGTAGCCTGAACTCTGGAAGTTGTGCATATTTTATGAAACACATACAGATATTTAATTTCATCACTATCCATCCAAACTCTCCAATTTTTGCCAAAAAATGTTCTCCTTCGGTGCATCTATTAGCTTTAGACTTCCCATGTCTCTTTAAGGTTTGTGAGTCACTTAACTTGGTGGAATGAGGATAATCAATGGGACATAGTAATACCAGGGTACGAAACATATAGGAATGGCAGAATAGGTCGTACTGGTGGGGGAGTGGCACTACAGGTGAAAGAAAGCATAGAGTCAAATAAAGTGAAAATCTTGAATGAATCAAACTGTACCATAGAATCTCTATGGATAGAAATTCCATGCTTGAAATATGAGACAATTTAGATGCTAAAGGAGCACTCAAGGAAGATAAGGCCATTGCAAGAAGTTAAATGAATTCTTTGAATCGGTCTTCACTTCAGAGAATGTGAGGGAGATTCCCACACCTGGGCCATTCTTTTTAGGTGAAACATCTGAGACACTGTCCCAGATTGAGGTGTCAATCAAGGGGATTTTGGAACAAATTGATAAATTAAACAGTAATGAGTCATCAGTACCAGATGGTATTCACCCAAGAGTTGTGAAGGAACTCAAATGTGAAGTTGCAGAACTACTAACTAATATATAAACTATTGCTTAAATCAGCCTCTGTACCATATGTCTGGAGGATAGCTAATGGTAATATCAATTTTTTAAAAGGGCATCAGAGGCTATCCTGGCAATTATAGGTCAGTAAGCCTAACTTCAGTACCAGGCACATTGTTTGAAACAGAACTATGACACACAGATAAACAGGATATGTTGGCAAAAAATAAACATGGTTATTGCAAAGGGAAATCATGCTTCACCAATCTATTCAAATTCTTTGAGGGGGTCAACAAGTACATGGACAATGGTGCTCCACTTGATATAGTGTACTTGGACTTTTAGAAAACCTTTGACAAAGGCTCTTAAGCAAAGTAAGTAGTCGTGGGATAAGAGGGAAGGTCCTCTCATGGATCAGTAACTGGTTAATAGGAATCAACAGGTAGAAATAAATGGTCAGTTTTCACAATGGAGAGAAGTAAATAGCAGGGTCCACTAAGGACCTGTAATGGGATGAATGCTTTTGAACATATTCATAAATGATCTGGAAAAGGGGGTGATCAGCTAGGTGGCAAAATTTACAGACAATACAAAATTACTCAAGAAATTTAAGTCTAAGCTGAATGTGAAGAGATACAAAGGGCTGTTATTGAACTGGGTGACTGGGCCACAAAATGACAGATGAAATTAAATGCTGGTAAGTGCAAAGTAATGCACATTGGGAAAAAACATGTTATCACTCAAGAAAGAATTGGAGTCATTGTGGATACTTCTCTGAAAACATCCACTTAATGTGCAACTGCAGTCAAAAAATCTAACAGAATGTTAGGAACCATTTGAAAAGTGATAGATAATAAAACAGAATATTTCACAATGCTCCCATGCTCTAGGTGCCCCTAAACCTCTGACTGACAGAAGCTTGGACTGGACAACAGGGATTGGGATCGCTCAATAATTGCCCTGTTCTGTTCATTTCCTCTGAAGCATCTGGCATTGGCCACTGTCAGAAGAGAGGCTACTGTGCTAGATGAACCATTGGTCTAACCCAGTATGGAGAGTCTTATGTTCTTCTAATACCACTATATAAATCCATAGTACCCCACACCTTGAATACGACATGTAGTTCTGGTTGCCCTACCTCAAAAAAGATATATTAGAATTGGAAACGGTATGGTGAAAGGCAACAAAAATTATTAGGGGTATGGAAAAACATCCATATGAGGAGAGATTAAAAAGACGGGGACTGTTCATTTTAGACTAAGGGGGGTATGTTAGAGGTCTATAAAATTATGAATGATATGGAGAATATGAATAGAGAAGTGTTATTTAGCCCTTTCCTAATACAAGAACTTTATTAAATTAATAGGCAGCAGGTTTGAAACAAAGTACTTCTTTACACAATACACAGTCAACCTTTGGAACTCTCTGCCAGGGGATGTTGTTAAGGCCAAAAGTATAATTGAGTTCAGAAAATAATTATATAAGTTCATGGAGCATAGATCCATCCATGGCTATTAGCCAGGATGGTCAGGGATGCAATCCCATGCTCTGGGTGTCCCTAGACCTCCAACTATGAGAAGATGGGACTGGACAACAGGGAATGGATCACTCAGAAGTGCCTCAGACGCATTTGGCACTGTCCACTGTCAGAACATAGGATACTGGGCTAGCTGAATCATTGGTTTGCCCCAGTCTGACCATTCTTATGGGTCAACAATATCTTTTATCAGTGAGTTCCACAGGTTGATTATAATAGATAAAAAGAAACACTCATGAGTAAGGCCCCACTGGAAAATCTGATGATTTACTTTGCCGTGTGGTGGTTTTGTCCATATTTAATATATGTTCACTGCTGTCTGTTTTCTGTAGGATAAAGATTGAGGAAGAATATGCCAAGAACTTGTCCAAACTGTCTCAGAACTCACTGGCTGCTCAAGAAGAAGGGTAAGGAGCCTTTGCACAAAAGGCATTTCCCCTAACTTAGGCACATGCTCTTCTCTTGAGGCCCTCCATAGAGCAATGGGTGATTCAGACTATTATCCTGGCTTTGTTAGTGGGGGGTAGAACCTTCTGGAGCAGTAGTCCATTGATTGACAGGGCCAGTATGTTTTTAAGAGCAGTTGTGCAAAATATTAAAAATTTTAATCATTTATGTTTAATATTATAGCTGTTCTAAACTATAGCAATTCTTGGGGTTCAGCACATGGCAGCACTGCATTGCTGGAATCACAGAGGGATCTGTGCATTAAATGAAGTTGCTGATTGCTGTCCCTCAGGGGACCCAGTAGCATCAGGACAGAGGGAGATGCAACAGCATCTTCTAATCCTGGGTTCTTTCCTCCCGTGGAGCAAAAGGAGAGAGCCTCTCTCCTTTGCGCTGTGTCTGCCCTGGGGAGGAGGTAGGATGCCCAGAAGTGATATGCCAAAGAAGGCAGGGGAGGGCTCATGTACACTGCTTTAGTTTCCCTGCACTAGCACGTTTCTGTGCCATTGACAGAAGTCACTGATGTGGAGGCCCCGTCACTAGATGTGTTCAAGAGAAGACCAGGAGAATCTTTTGGGGGCTAGAGTACAGGGGTGCTAGGAGTTGGTTTCACAATTAATGGTCTCTAATTATAAATCCTTATAATAGAATTCATTTAATGAACAAAAACCATTTAAAAGGGGTTAAAGTTCGGCTGTCAATTAATCGCAGTTAACTCACGCAATTAACTAAAAAAAATTAATCGCAATTAAAAAAATTAATCGCAATTAATTGTAGTTTTAATTGCACTGTTAAAAATAGACTACCAATTGAAATTTATTAAATATATTTGGATTTTTTTCTACATTTTCAAATATATTGATTTCAATTATAACACCCTACACAAAGTAGACAGTGCTCACTTTACATTATTATTTTTTATTACAAATATTTGCACTGTAAAAATGGCAAACAAAAGAAATAGTATTTTTCAATTCACCTCATACAAGTACTGTAGTGCAATCTCTTTATCATGAAAGTGCAACTTACAAATGTAGATTTTTTGTTACATAACTGCACTCAAAAACAAAACAATGTAAAACTTTGGAGCCTACTTCTTGTTCAGCCAATCGCTAAGACAAACAAGTTTGTTTACATTTACGGGCGGTAATGCTGCCTGTTTCTTATTTACAATGTCACCTGAAAGTGAGAATGGCACTTTTGTAGCTGGCATTGCAAAGTATTTACGTGCCAGATAATATTTAAAAATAAAGACGGTACAAACGATTCAAGGAGTCAGGTGTCAGTCATTGGGGGGAACATACAGAGTATGGGGGGATGTTGTTATGTTGGGGTTGGCAGCTCACATAATACATACGGACTGTAGTGTCCCCAATGGGGGGGTGGGTGGTGGGCGAGATCAAGACCTAGTTGATAATCGGTGAGGGTCAATCATCCACACATGGGGTACAAATAGCCATGGGCACAAGTAGGTGGGTTGGGTGATGGTGATGGGGCGACCCTCACGGGGTGGGATCCAGGGGAAAGAAGCCCTGCAGGGTGGGGGGGGGTTGATAGGTCCCATCCCCCTTGCGGGCGGGTGAGGTCTCCCCGGCTCACTCCTGAGCATTGACGGTGGCCGGTGGGGTTGGGGGGGTTAGGGGATCGGGGGGCAAG